AAGTGATACACAAACATAAACAAGTGCAAACCGGTTTCAGTCATTTAAAAAACAGTAAAGCTGTATAGTATCACCTGATAATTAAGATTTTACACAGAATCTTATAGTGCGTCTAATAATTTGGCTATGTACTGTATACATTTGAATTATAACGACGAACTGAAATGTCAAAAATTATTTCCTTTGCTTAGTGTGTTTAAAGCATAAATTATTTCAAAGAAAGAGAAAAATAGTTTACCTTCATTTTCAAACCCAAACTTACAGTAGAAATGATCATTCACTTGTACGTCATTAACAGCAGAAATGTAACGAGGAAAAATTTATAATTAGAACAGAAAAAAAAGAACGAATTTTAACGCTTGAGACGACGTTTCATTAGTGCTAAATGCTCTAGTGCAAATCTTTAATCATTTTTCCAAATTTTTTTTCTTCTACTAATGTTTAACGTTATTGGTATTTCTCTGTTTTACGTTTGACGTTAGATGAAGTCATTAATTTTATCTTGAACTCAGAAGTCGACTTTGACCTTTAAAGACAAACAAGACTTTGTGAAAACCAGGTAATTTTTTTTCGTCAAATTTTACGAATTCTGTATATTAACGTACATAAGTGGGATGAACAAAATATGGACACCATTACCAGAATTTATCAATGTAAATGCAAAATGAGTAAGAAAGCAATTGGATGTTTCACGTTTGCGTTAACGCGAAGTTAAAACCTAAATAATGTAAAATTATCGAAAATAATATGTTACTAGAATCCTCAAATTATGTTAAATTTAGACATACATATTATTGAGCCGCAATGGTTCAGGGGATAGAGCGTTAGCCTTCCAATGAAGTAAACCGGGTTCGATTCCCGGTGATGGCTGGTTGATACGAATTCCGCATCCGGCTTGCTCCGACCACAGTACTGACGTAAAATATATCCAATGGTAGACGATTCATGGGTTAAAATCCCCTTGCCTCCAAGCTAACCGTGAGAGGTTTTTATGGTTGTTCTCTAACCGTAACGCAAATGCGGGTTAGTTCAATAAAAAAGTCCTCCACGAAGGCATATTTCCCCCAATACTTGATCCAGGAGTTTCTTTATCTTCTGGATAGGGTTCAAAATTATAAGGCTACGTAGTTGAACATTAGTAGTCACAAAACCAAAATATTGGGTCGGCTGTTCAACGACGGTTATGAACTTACAAAAGAAATATAAATTAAATATTATTAGGATTTAAATAATATTTATTTTTGCTCGAAAATCCTACAAACACCCCTAAACACAGAAAAGCATATTTTCTACTTGTAGTAGTCACCAAACTTATGAGCGATAGCATTGTTTTAGTATCGCAGAAATATAATTTGATAACTTATGATTAGTTATTGTTCGATTCTTCCGAAATATAGCGTAGCCATGAGCATTTTTTTGCATCATGTGATCTGAAATGTTCATCGACTGAAATGATGCAATATGATGTCTTATAGTGGTTATCTTAAGAAAAGATTGCTTAGAAATCTCCTTTATGAAACTGAAGACAACAAAAGTTCATGCAATAAAAGGATAAGAGGCAGCATGAAACAGTAACGCAAATGGAAGAAAATATACGAATATATTTTAGGTTTCAAATTATACCTTCATAAAAATTACTTTGAAATTAATAAACTAATAGTTATATTTTTTTAAAATTCACCGTTATGAATTAAAGCGTGAATGTCAAATTACAAACACAAATTAAAATTTAAAGAGAAAAAAAAATATGAGTACATACGTATTTAAATTTTTTTTAACTATTAGGTAAGGTAGGATTTAAATTCTTACTATTAGGTTACTATTAAGTTAGGCAGGATTTAAATTTTTACTATTAGGTCACTATTAGGTTAGGTAGGATTTAAATTTTGACTATTATGTTCTTACTATTAGGTTACTACTGATTAGTACTGACTTCTGATTACTATTAGGTTAGGTAGGATTAAAAGTTTTACTATTAGGTTCTTACTATTTGGTTACTATTAAGTTAGGTAGAATTTAAATATTTACTATTAGGTTATATAGGATTTAAATTCTTATTATCAGTTTAGGTAGGATTTAAATTGTTACTATTAATTTCTTACTATTAGGTTAGGTAGGATTTAAATTTTTACTATTAGGTTACTATTTGGTTAGGTAGGATTTAAGTTTTTACTATTAGGTTAATATTAGGTAAGATAGGATTTAAATTTTTACTTTTATATTACTATTATGTTAGGTAGGATTTAAATTTTTACTATTAGTTTCTTAATGAGTTTATTTTCAAGGACTTTTTCAATTTCAAAACTTACGAATTTTAGTACTTTCAAGATACATTTAAATTTTTGAGCATACACATTATACGAATAATATAAAATAATTCTCCTTTTCTTTACACCAAGGCTTGATGTAAAGTCACTTTTTATTTTTAATATTACGCCGAAATAGTATGCCTGAATATGTATATTTCGTAATTAACAAGAAAAGATTTATCCTTTTTAATGTGCATTTTTAACATGCATTATTTATCAGAATAAAGCACTTTGATTGTGATATGTTTAAATTAATTATTGAACAGAATAAAGTCAAGTATATTTCCGTCTTTTTTTCCATAATAAAGAAGGAAATATATGTAGATTTTTTTCCAGCACAAAAAAGTAGAATAACCAAACACGTATTTTTGGATCACCTTAGTTAGAAATCAGCATAATTTAAGTTTTCTGAGGCATAATGAAATTAGGAATTTCTTATTTTGTTGTATATAATTTGGTGCGTATATTCTCCCGTATTTAGGTAAAAATCATGATCTAACAATTTTATGACACCAAAATAATATCTAAAAAGCACGCGTTTATAAGATCCAGCAAAATAAATTCCCCTCAAATATTACAAGAAATGAAATAAAAACAACGTAAAGATAGAAATTAATTTAAGCATCAAAATCTATAAAATCTTACCCTCTCACTATCTTTCTTTTATTTTGAATTTTCTAATTTCATGCGAAAAATACAGGAAGTTCCGCATGGACTTTTTTTAATAGACATTTTTGCATCCTTATCAAAAATTAAGTTAAAAAAAAACTACACTTATAGGCGGTCTCAAATTGACATTTAACCGAGAATTACAGTACAAATTCGATCATTTTTCATAATTAATAAATATCAAAACTAGTTTCATTAGGGATTGACCCTTGAGGGTGTTACTAATGGAAAGTTATTTCCTTATAGAATAGATAGATTATTTATAGAATAGAATTAATTGAATTGTAACTCCTATGTTTTTCCACCCGTTATCGTGTATTAAATTTCTCTTACTGTAATTTAATTTGTCAGATTTCCAGAGTTTTGTCCCCATCGGTTAACTATTATTTGCCGAACCTTATAACGTGCATACTTTTTAAATTTGATTTCTGATAAAGATTCTAAAAAATACCTATCAAGAGTGGTCTTTACGGAATACTATGCATAACCTTTTTCATGTTTTAATTATATCTATTTCTAACATACTATTTTTAGGGAATTATTTCAAGGATTTTATTTTATCTTCCAAATATTTAATTCTGTGTTTCGATTTTACCTGTAACAATTACTATTTCAACAATGTTAAACAATTACTATTTCATTACATTACTATTAAAAATTACTCTATAATATAAATAAATTCTTTTTTAAAAGTATCTTAAAAAAAGTCCTTACAAATTATGTTAAAATAAAAATCTAATATACAGAGTGTTACGTAAAAACCGCCTTTAACATGTATTTTTAGAATCCTCCTACTAATACAGGATGCGGATGTAATGAGCAACAAGAGATGTATGATTGTAAGAGTAAAAACAGCTAGGAGTTGAAAAACAATTAATAGAAATACATTCAATCTTTAACCTCCAATTAAACCTACTTTGAAATTTACATTACAATCGGCTTCCATTTCCGCAATTCATCAGGATTTGATTGCTTTTCGCTTAAATACTAATCAGCGACCCCCATCTGTTTTTTTTCCTATCTCATTTTTGAAAATGATTATAAAAATGCATATTTAACACGGCCTTGACAAACCATTCTGTATAAATGTTGATAAAAGGAATTCTATCGAATATTTAAGTAACTCTGACAAAACATTAATATTTGCCTTAATAAATTGCACATCCAAATTAGTTATTTAGTTACTAGTTATTTAAAAACTTTTTTACTTTTAATTTTAGCAAACGAGCTTTTGAAGAAATGAAAATTTTTAATATTTTTTTCTTTATTCTTAAGTTTTAAAATTAATTTTTGTAATATTGATTTACTTAGTTGTGGATATTTAGATTTCTGTTGATAGAAAAAATTTCACTGAAAAAATATAGTACTTTGCGTTATAGTGTTCAAAATTAAACAAATATTACCCGATAGTAGAACTACTAGAAGTGTCGAAGCTTATTTGTGACAGAAATACTATAAAATATATGCAATTTTGAAATCAATAATTTTACGTTTTACATTGGATTAAAACCTTTCAAAATATAACTGAAAGATTGGATTTCACGCATTTTGTAAAATATATAAATTAAGGATTGTAAATACTTATTAAGTAAAATATTTATATTTTTTAACATTTATTTATCATAAACATTTCATAATATATATCGTATAACATACAAGTATTATAAAAATACCTATAATTGATGTGTTTTTTATACTATATATCTTACAACAGGTATTTTATAATATGTATCTTATATGTATTTTATTATATATATCTTATTATATATATCTTATTATATGTATTTTATAATATATATTTAAAACATTTAATACTTATGATATGACTTTCAAAGTTCTCATTTTTAAAATAAGCACTTCATTTAAATTATCTAAAATGTTCAATAAATTTTGAAATTTAAATTTTAAAGATATGTTTTTCTATCCTTTATATAGTTTTTTTTTAAATCAAGCCAATTGATAAGATTTTATTAATTTGTAAAGTTGTAAGAAATGTTCATAATAATCTCAAATCGAACTTACTTCATAAATGTAATCACCCCAACATTCGATATGTTGTCGACTAAATGTTTCCAAGTTTCGTGAATGAGTTGCTTTTGACTTGCAGTGAGTTCTTTCGAATCGCTTTCATCCAATACGATTACTTCCGCAATATTGTCCTTTTCACCATTCTCATTCATTTCTGTGCAAATATTTGCGTTTTTGGAATGCTGACAACCCATAATGGCAGGCAGAAAAAATATTACTTTTCTCAAAAATTTTTATTTTTTATCAAACTATATAAAACCCTTGAAAAAAGATGAAATTTTCCTCTCATTTTAAAGAAATTGTCCATTTGCAGCAGCGCATTATTTCAAACATTATTTAAATGCTGAAATTTTGAAGATATTCTGAAATAGATTGTTTATTTAGCAAATTTATTGTGCCCACGAGAATTTATGCTTCTGCCATAAGAACGAAAATATTCTGCCCAGCTCTATTACCTAAAAATGATCTCTCTGTGTGTTAGTCACATGACACTTCCAAAGAAGGGATAAGTTTTGAGAACCAACCACCTAAGCTTCTTACGTAGATAGGAATGCAACAGCCTTTCCAGATATGGAACGAGTTTTAGGTAGATGGCGCTGTGCGAGTCAAGGTGATTGTATGGAAAAGTTGGAAAGTTTCGATCGCATAGTACAAGGTACATGAAGCGGAAGAAGCGTTAGACTAAATTTATTCGAGTGTGCTCAGATTTCACATTTTCGTAACGCTGAAGCTATTAAATATGTTATCGTGATTTCTTTCAATCGCCTCTCAGTGTTTCGTTTTTTTCTTTCTTAGAGGTAGATATAAACTTCTAAAATGATTAAAAATCCTTATTTTATATTGTTCTAATATTTGGTTCAAGTTCTTTCAATTTCAAATTTATTTCCGATTAGTTTTATATCGTTTAGTAAGCAGATTAATTTAGATCGCTTAACATTCAATCAGATGTTTGAAAAATATACGTGGGAATTCTAAAATTTGTAAAAAATTAACACAAATAAATTAAAAATGAGAAGAAAAGAGTAAAAAAATGCTTCATAACTAACATTATTGTTAAAAATTCTGAAAAAAATAAACTTGTCAACTTTACATTTATACATTTTACAAGATAAATACTCAAAAAATCACATTTTCTTTCGATTTTAGCGGGGGAAATACTCCGTATTATCATTTGAAAATATATTGAAGAAATTTTCATCATTACATGTATGAGAATATGAATCTTGTAAAAGGCATTAGACTTAGGCGAAAAACATTTATCCCACACAACTCCTTTAACTTGATATGAATCTTAATAACAAAAAAATATTTTCATATTAACTGATTAAACAGCAAAAAATTTTGAAAAAAAAGAAAGTAACTGAAGCAAAAATACCAATGACAACCGAATGACATGTCCTCAAAATGAACTTTGTCATCAGTGGGGAAAAAATGAAATTCCTCCCCTGGCTTAGCACCGATGTCGGCAACATTCAACCCTACGTCAAAAGTCTACGCCACTTCACATCTTTATTTTTTAACGTCAGAGTGAACTGGCGTCACCCCCTACTTCAGTTTCTAGCAGAAATGGGTTGTCCTCACTTGTCTAATTCGGGAAAAACGACAGTCTTGTTTTAAGGAAGAATGTCACCTCAAAGGTCAAAATGAATTAGTTTTTAAGCCAAATATTTATTTCCTTCTAAACGATAGAAGTTTTGTATTTTATGATAGCATCAAGCGTTAAAATTATTATATATCACCAGGATAACAATGCTGGAGCGAATAGGTTAACTCGCATATTAATTAGTTAATTTGCGAATCGCAAATAGCTTTTGAAAACTAATTGTAGCATCGAAATTAATAAAAACGCAAGCAATCTCACTCATACTTTTAATTAAGAGTCAGAAAAAATATATAAGGGGCACCGGTGTTTCATCCGCGTAGTAAAATTTCTCATTAAACCAACTAATTCATTACATTCATTTCATTAAACAACTTTCAATTTAAAAAAAAATGAAAATTGATTTAAATTCAGCACTTAAATAATCAAGTGCTTTATTTGGATTTAAAATAGCTTTCACGAGTTTTTAAGAGATAGCATTTCCAACAATTTAATTAAGCAACAATTTAATTCTGGCGCGAATGCAAACTATTAAGTAGAATTTCCACAAAACAATACAGCTGTTTCTACCAGTAAATGAAGGCAATTGGTGTGTATTGGATTGGTTGTAAAACTATTAGACAAACCCAAGACACATTCAAATAAGTTATTACAGAAAACTTAAAAAAATGAAGAAAATTGCGATTGCCGCAAGGTGATCACAGGTTACCCATTGTCAAAGTTTTTTGGAGAAGAAACTTTATAGTGTTTTCATCTTGGACATCTTTAACTGTTAATCTTGAACTGCTCGATACATAATTTTGCAGACGTATATGAATGCAGCTCCGACGCATTCTGCGTAAATTCTTTTGATGACTGAATAGACATTGAACAAACAATCGAGGTCAATATTAACATTTTCGGATGGGTACAATGGTGTTTGAAGGAGATTGCAAGCTGCATCATACATCCGTTTCGGATTCACAAGTTCATATAAAAAATATGATGATGATATTCATATGTTAAATATGATATGTGAGTTAAGGAATTTCATTTGTGGTAAATAACTTTTGCAAAATACTAATGTAAAAGCAATATTGTAAAATTGAAAAAATGTCCCAATTGTTAAATCTTTTTTTTTTAAACATTGATGCTAAAATTCAAATCTTTTAGGTCAAATAAAACTCGTTCTCATGTTGGCGACAAATTAAAAAAAAGCAGTCAGCACAATGTTCGTGTAGCCTATAAATACCTTAAAAGTTATCATACTTCTTCATCATTGGTTGCAATATATATATATA